TAAACCCACCTAAGCTTCCTCAGTGTTCTTCTGCCATGTTGGAAGTTCGCATCCATCAGAAAGAGGTACTAAAAACGCTAAGCACTCTAGACGTGAATAAAGCCAGTGGGCCCGATGGCATTCCAGCTATTGTCCTGCGGAATTGTGCCCCTGAGTTGTCTCCTATTCTGACTCGCCTGTATCGCTTATCCCTTGAGATTGGCCAAGTTCCGAAAACCTGGAAGCTTGCCAATGTCCAACCAGTGCCCAAAAAGGGTAGTCGTGCCGACCCTGCCAACTATCGACCTATTGCAATCACCTCCATACTCTGTAAGATTATGGAGCGTGTATTGAACAACCGTCTCCTCGCTTACCTCGAAGATAACGATCTCCTCAGTGACTGCCAATTCGGTTTCCGCCGTGGGCGATCTACTGGGGATCTTCTTGTGTATGCTACCCACTTATGGAGTGAAGCCATAGAGAAACGCGGCGAAGCTCTCGCCGTTTCTCTTGATATTTCTAAGGCTTTTGACAGGGTCTGGCATGCAAGTCTCATTGGCAAGCTTCCTTCATATGGAATCGCTGTCGGACTTTGCAACTGGATTGCAGATTTTCTGAGGGGCAGATCGATACGAGTGGTCATTAATGGCACATCGTCGGATCTGCTTGGTATTAATGCCGGTGTCCCCCAGGGATCTGTCCTCTCCGCAACTCTATTCTTGCTGCACATCAATGATCTGCTCCTAACTCCTGGTATCTTTGGGTATGCAGATGACAGCACAGTTTCGGGGAGATATCTGCCTGATGTGAAGTCTGATGCAGATGTCCGATCATTAAGGGAGGCGATGGTGGAGGGAGTGAATGCAACCCTGGAAGCTGTTTCCCTCTGGGGTGAAGCCAACTTGGTTGGATTCAATCCCTCTAAAACACAAGCCTGTCTCTTCTCGACGAAACGGAGTCCATTCCATCTGACTCCGACTTTCCGAAATGTCTCCGTGCCGGTTAAAGACCATCTCGAGCTCTTGGGTATGGACATCTCATCCAGCCTCAATTTCGGTCCCTACATCGAGTCCATTGCTAAAACCGCTGCCAGAAAACTTGGAATACTTTCTAAGGTCAGGCGATATTTTACATCTGAGCAGCTCCTTAACCTTTACCGAGCCCAAGTTCGCTCCTGCTTGGAGTACTGTTGTCACCTTTGGGACGGATCTGCTCGGTATCAGCTGGATGCACTGGACTCGGTGGAACACCGTGCGAAGAGACTCATAGGCAATGACGCTCTCGTTGAGGCTAATCTTCAGAGCCTCGACCACCGAAGACGTGTAGCTTGCCTTTCGGTGTTTTATCGGTTACATTTCGGAGAGTGTGCGGAGGTATTACATAATTTGATCCCCCCTTCCCCTTTCCACCACCGGACGACCAGGCGCGGCGAGGGCTTCCACCCTTATGTTGTCGAAGTTCCTCCTATTCGCACGAAGCGATTTGCTTCGGCCTTCATTATACGAACGGCTAGGGAGTGGAACTCCTTGCCGAGGTCTGTTTTCCCGGACCAATATAACCTGGACATCTTCAAGGCCAGAGTGAACAGGCATCTTCTAGGCAGGCGTGTACCATCCTAGGCCTCATCATCGCTTTCCATCAGGTGAGATTGTGGTCAAACGCATTGCCTATTTAGCATAAAAAAAAAAAAAAAAAAAAAAAAAAAAAAAAAAGCTCGTAAAATTTTACCACTTATTGCTATACGCGTAAGAATAAAGACCTTATTTCTTTGACTCTACGCACTGAAGATGCGCTATTAGCAACATAGCAGGTACGGACCGCGAGGAAAAGAGACAACTATATTACCGATCATGTATTTGAATATCACGTTTTTGAAGTTATACTTCTTTAGGCGCGTTATGAAAAAATGATGAGAGTGAAATTTTAAGATGCGCGCGCATCACTGTAACACAAACTTTTGTGTTTACCGCAAATTAAGAAAATCTACCATCAAAATAGAAATGGAATCTCTATTTAGTGGGTGCTAACGACTGCATTGTGAAGGCCTATCAAAAGTATTTATTAATCTGGAACAACGGAAACAAAGCGCGATTCAGGAGACTACAGCGCCATCTCTTGACCATTGGTGTAGTAGAACCAAAAACCACATCTTTATTTTTTGTAATAAAGTAACAGTTATAGGTATTCATATTTATAATATTTATCCACATGTTTCTAGTTTGTATATTCGGAATACGTGTTTGAGTTTCATACAAGTGCAAATCACATATGTTCTAATAAATTATATTCAGTAGCGATTTTAATTGAATATTTTGATTATTTATTTATTTTTTCAAATTAAAACTGAACTTTATTGACTGTGTCCTTTTCCAGACTTTTTATTAATTTATTGTTATTAATTATTTGCATGCAATTAAAAACTAATTTTAAACGATGCCAAAGAAGGATAACTTCTCACGCGCCTACATAAGTACACGCACCCATTTTTTTCTATTAAATCAATTTATAGTAAGTATTAGAACATAATTATTTGCTTCAAATGCGTTAAATTTACAAACATTTATTAGATACCTATAAAAAAAGGACACTTTACGTACTATAAGTATTTATTATGCATTTTTTCACGGAGCTTTGCGGCATCTTGATTTTCAACAGTCCGCGCGTAACTATGAGTCAAGTAGTGCTAGAGTCGTGTTCAAGCACTTCTTGATTGGGACACATTTTGAGCGCACGTGTTGCATCTAGGGTATTTAATATCGTTGCATAAAAAAGTATGAAACTGATGTCAATTTTGACAATTGTTTCACCTAGAGCGTAGTTTGGAACGCACCCTGGTAAACGAATGCAAATACCCACTAAGGGTTTTGCGCGATTTTATCAAAAGCGGTATTTTTCCATATAGAAATCTCATCTAATATTCCCAAAAGTTCAATGTGGAAATTATATTTGTTAAGAAAATCCACTTCCAAACGTATTGCGGTCATTGTTTAGTTTGTTTTTGGCTCATTTGAAAAACTGTAGAAGAGAGGCGATATGAAGTAAGTTAAATAAAATGTGGTTTTGATTACTGAAGTTTTAATTTATATTAAAATCATTTCTGTTTTTTGCAGTGGTGTCACAATCGTCGCATCCCTCTGTAGAGCAGCTTAATGTTTTGATCGAGTTCCTAGCAGCTAATAGAGATTTAGCTAAAGATTTCTCTAAGAACCTCGGTGCCAAATAAACCTATCATTGCTAGCTCCAACAAATGAGGCATCGACATGCAAAACATTGAGATCGGCATGAACAATCTGTAACAAAATATTTACAAAATTGAATTCCAGTCTTTTAATTTATCTTTACATAAATTTATATATTTATATGTTCATGAATCATGACAAGTTTTAAGAAAGTAACAAATAGATGAAAATCAGTTAAAGGTGTAGGTACTTACTACTTGAACATTTCTTGCATGCTTACCTTTACGACAATAATACCGTTCTTCATTTTCTTTGGGTCGTATCATGGTGACAAAGATACCATCTATGCAACCAACAACTCCACGTATTTGAAATTTCTCAAAAAAACTGTAACAAAGGTAAAGAATAGCTCATTTAATATTTGCTTTACTAAAGAAACTGCCAATAAAAGTATTTTTTTATGATTTCATTACCTAAAATACTTTAAGACACGGGCTCATAGATTTTTTAGAATTCTAATCAGAGTTTACTTACTGTTCCTTTAACACTTGGTGTTGAGATGCATTTCGCAGAAATGTTATATATTTTTACGATGTCTGGATGACTTAAAATTGAGGCAATTTCATTTATACTTCTTGACATTAATATTAAGCACAAGGCAATAGAGTGAGATCTGAAAAAATAGGTGGACATGAGTTTTTGAATTATTAAATAAACAATGAGACCTACATTAAAAATACTTACTTTAAAAGATCTTCTATAAACAAAACTCGTAATTTATTAGCAAAGTTTGTTTGATTGATTACCATAGCTACACACTAAGTCACTTTGACATAACAATTCGAGTGCGGATCCGAAAGTGAGTGTAAAATTCGTTACAGAATGCCATTAAACTTCAAATCCTTGAGCATATTGTCAAGCTATATCCTGCGTTAGTTCATTTCACCGCCACTCTCGCCTAGTAGCGCTAGCGTTGATTCTCACTTGACTACAGAATGCCAATGATAAAATCCGAAACGGATCCGCGTTCGAAAGTGAAATGTGTCTTTACAGAATGCCACTCCAGGCAGCAGACGGGACTCGAACCCGCACCCTTCGCAATCCGGGCGAATGCACTGACCAATTATGCTACCGCGGCCCACACGGACCGCGTCAAAATTCTTCTAGCTATTCTTAAGCTGCAAGGCAGCGCTATCTCTTCGCATTATAGGTAACCCACAATGTCAAATGACGACTTTTACAAGTATTAAACATTTGAAAGAAGAAATAGCAATTATAGTTATAATTTTTATTATTTTAAAGCATGTAACTGCTTGAAATTGAATTGCAGCTTAAGTTTAATACTTGTAAAAGTATTCATTTGACATTGTGGGTTACCTATAATGCGAAGAGATAGCGCTGCCTTGCAGCTTAAGAATAGCTAGAAGAATTTTGACGCGGTCCGTGTGGGCCGCGGTAGCATAATTGGTCAGTGCATTCGCCCGGATTGCGAAGGGTGCGGGTTCGAGTCCCGTCTGCTGCCTGGTCCGCGTGGAATTTTTTCTAGTTATATTTTCTTATGATCATTATTAACATACTTTATAAAATATATTGATGACGAGACTGTGAAGGGAACTTATGAGTAAAGTTTAACGTAAAGTAACGTATACTACGTACGTAGTAGTGTAACGTAACGTACAATGTTGATTAAGTAGGTATGTACAGCTCTTACATCCGTTTTAACAATAAATAATACCCCTATAATGTGTACTTTTAAACCTAACTTTTATACCACAGTTTTTCCGAGGAATGGAGCATAAATATTTGCCTGAAATTTATTATCTTCTTCCTTTCTTCTTTTTAGATGACCGAGGGGAGGTCTCGCGTGCAGCAGAACGACCTCCTTCTGCACGAGGCTGTTATCAAGAATGAGATAGCAGCAGTGAGAGAAGCGTTGCTGAGACCCACGGATGTTAACTGTAGGAACAACGTGAGTACGGGGGGTCTACTCTATTTTTCCGAAACGAACTTTCGATAACGAAGTTCAAACGATATTTAATTTCGTCAATTTAAGGTTATACTTAATTTGAACGATAAAACTATCAAATCGAAGCTTTCTTTGAGTAGGCTTAGAATATCTACACCTCAATCTGTATTCCGACGACGAATATTATTAAAATTAAAGACGTAACAGAAACATAGTAACAAAAGTGCGAGGTTTCGATCGAAATTTCGTATTTCGTTGAACTAGAGTAGGCCTCCAGTTACGGAAGATCGCGAGTGCAGTACAACGACCTCCTTCTGCACGAGGCTGTCATCAAGAACGAGATAGCAGCAGTGAGAGAAGCGCTGCTGAGACCCACGGATGTTAACTGTCGGAACAACGTGAGTACAGTCACAGAAGGTCTCGTGTGCAGTACAACAACTTCCTTCTGCACGAGACTGTCATCTAGAATGAGATAGCAGCAGTAAGAGAAGCGTTGCTGAAACACACGGACGTTAACTGTAGGATCAACGTGAGTACAGTCACGGAAGGTCTCGTGTGCACAGCGTTGCCATTGATACGGCAATTACCGTAATATACGGCAATTTGAGCTCATCATTTCAGATTATACTGCATACGGAAGGTTTGTTATTGCCGTATAATAATACTAACTACCTATAAATTTTAGTGAATAAAATTAGGTAATACGGTAAACTCATGATATTTATTTAAAAATACGGCAATCTGATGTATCGAATACGGCAACTCTTTTAAACTTGATTGCAACACTGCGTGTGCAGTACAACGACTTCCTTCTGCACGAGGCTGTCATCAAGAATGAGATAGCGGTAATGAAAGAAGCGCTGCTATGACTCACGGATGTTAACTGTCGGAACAACGTGAGTACAGTTACGGAACATCTCGAGTGCAGTACAATGACCTCCTTATGCACGCGGCTGAAATCAAGAACAAGATAGCAACGCAGTGAGAAAAATGCAGCTGAGAACCTCAGCTGTTAACTGTCGGAACAACGTGAGTACAGTTACGGAAGATCTCGAGTGCAGTACAACGACCTCCTTCTACACGAGGCTGTCATCAAGAACGAGATAGCAGCAGTGAGAGAAGCGTTGCTGAGACCCACCGATGTTGACTGCCCAAACAACGTAAGTAGTATACAGTTACGGAAGGTCTTGCATTCAACAGAACGACCTTCTTATGCACGAGGCTCTCATCAAAAACGAGATAGCAGCAGTGAGAGAAGCGTTGCTGAGAGCCACGGATGTTGACTGCCCAAACAACGTAAGTAGTATACAGTTACGGAAGGTCTAGAATGCAACAGAACACCTTCTTCTGCAGGAGGGTTTTCCGGGATAATAAGTCCCAATCTAGGTAATAAGCTATCATCATCATCTGCCGATGTACATCCACTGCTGAACATTAGCACCCTCTAAGGATTTCCATTAAATAAACTATGTACGCCAAATTTCAGCCAAACCCCTTCAGAAATTGTTGCGTGATTAGTAACAAACAGAAAATATACAACATACAAACTTTCGACGACCTCCGTGGCCGAGTGGAATATACCGGGTTTCAAGGTGTCGCCTACTCGAGAGGCTCCGGGTTTGAATCCCGGTGAGGGCAAATGTTAATATGATGAATACGATTGTACCTTAGTCATGGATGTTTATATATATTTCTAGATAAAAATATACTTATATAATGTATCAGTATATGTATTGTATCCGTTACCCTAGCATCCCATAACACAAGCCTTACAGTGCTTACTTTGGCGCTAGGCTAATTGGTATGAGCGTTAAAATATTTATTAATTTATTTCAAGTTGATTATATAAGTGAGATAGGCAAAGGAATGCTTTATTGGTAATATCAAAGTTACTAATGAAACTGTATTAAAATTAGAAATTACATATTAATATTTGGATGTAAGATAATTAAATATAAAAGGGAATGATGCTTCACGGTACCTAACTAATCATATTATCAATAATTACAACATGTTCCATTTCTCTCTTATTGCAATTACCGACTCAGTAACTTCGTAGCACATACATTACATGATGATAAAATTACAATATAATCAATAGTATTATGGAAACCAGACTTTTTTATGTTTTTAAATTATCTGCCAGGGATTTACATGTTACGTGTAGCGACCCGGGCAACCGCCCGGTGCCTCGCACAATAACCCAAATTGCTAAGAGCTCTGTTTGCAAAATTAACTATAAAATCTAAACTGACACAGCCCCAATCAAAATGTAATCTAGCTTTTTAATAAAATAACAAAGCTTGCGGTACAACGGATATTTTTTTTTATAGCCAAATAAATGAGATTGAAATTTAATACTACAAGTAATTGGGTTGCCCAGAATAGGGATGACGACTTACTGTTTTTTTCTTCGTTTATCAGGTAGATTATCAAAAAGTATTGGACACGTATTTTTTCTTTTTTCACACAATATAAACATTGCAGAGATATATTGATTTGAAAAGTCGCAAGACGTCACGTTTTGGTACAATTTTCACTTAAAAGTGACGTCACGAGGCCGTACTCCCAAACTTTGACGCACTTTATCGTTGTCATTTTTTGGTTAATTGCCCAAAGAAAAAATACGTGTCCATTATTTTTTGATCATTTGACTGTCGGAATAAATAGAATTTCGTTTACTGTACCCCGTCGTCACCCCTAATTTACTAAGTATAATTATTATTTTAAGAAACTTTTATTTAAAGCAAATATTGATTGTAGCTTTGGCGATTATTAGAATTAAAAAAAATCTACTGAGCTATTAAATTAATTAATACATTTTTATCACCGAATAATGTTTAAAAATATATGCCGAATAACTAATAGCGACCACATTCCTTTGTAGGTAAATAATAAAATTATATTGAATGCGAGATTTGCTATTTCTATACTAATATTCCAAAGAGGTAAAGTACTTATGTAAGTTTGTTTGTAAGATAATATCTAGAACTATCGGACCGATTCTGTAATTTTTTTCACAAATTGAAAGCTTCATTATAAATGAGCTATATTTTGACGTGTTAAAATTAATGTCATCGATAGATTTAACAGTACCTTATCTTTAGGGCCATGTCGATGGTATATCGTTTTATGACGAAAGGTATGCCATAATAATTATTATTCTGTCATACCTTTCGTCATAAAAAATTAAATGGGTACGATGTCTAATATGATTTTCCCAGGAGAAGCTCATATATACAATTTGAATAATCCAATACTCTTTAAGATATATACTTTGGATGAGTAGGTGTAAGAAACTTCGATATTAACAAACATTCATACAAAATTTGGATGAAATTTCATACGCACATACACTTTTGGACACATCTATCCGCTCACTTAGGCTCGTATTACAGAATGACAACTAAGTGTTGATCTTTACTTGAGTACAGTTAGAAAGGGATGTTGCTATGTGCTATACATAGCGTAAGCCCTTTCTGACTATGCTCAAGACTAGATTAATTACTGAGAATCTTTCTATAATACGAGCCTTAGTATTATAAGTTGACCGTTGAAACTTTGTTGTAGCAAAAATACAATTGATTTATGTGAGTAATAATAATATATTTTTAAAAACACACGAAAAAATGGCTAATAAATCAGCTTCAAAACTGCGTAAAATTTTTTTGCTCAATGTTTCATAAATTTTTGCTAGGGACTGTCAAAACCATATATGTAGGTCAAAAAATAAATTGATAGGTGGGTCCATAGATGTGTCTAGGAGTATCAATTATTACGTGAATAGGGTATTTGACAAGTTTTAGAAAACGATCTCACGTTATTCACTAATGTTTATAGATATTCATCATTATATTGTGTAATTCGGTAAAAAAACTAATTCAAAAACTTTATTTTCAAGTTTCCGCGGAAAACGTATCTCTGGACAATATGGCGGCTCACTGGTGTGTGACGTCACACGACTGTCATTAAAACGTCAAACCATACAATCAGTTGTCACTTTAACCGGAAGTTTACTTGCGTGTGACGTCATATTAGGCTCCACCAGTCCAAAGCGTTTTTGGTTACGTGACAATAGACAAGAAAACTATTATATTTATCGTGGGATTTTAGTAAAATTATGAATATTTTTTCTGTAAAAATAGTAAAAGCTCCTGCCAATATTCATTCTAAATACAGATGCTAACAATTGGCACTTTATTTTTAATACTGTCAAATGCCCTATTGAGACATCCAGCTACCAAAATTTATTCTTTCGAATATTCTTAACCCATATTTTTTACTCTTCTATTAAACCTTTAAAACGTCACTTTAAAAGTTACTTTATTTAGTTATAAGTACATTTTCTCTTATGATTGTCATAAAGTGGTCTTATTTAGTGTTTATTTAGTTTTACAAATATCTGGCAATTGCTTTTTAAGAAAAAATAACTTAGAAATGTGTTATAGTAGCAACCTGCGAGATAAATCTTGGAATGATACTCTTAATGCCATTAAAACTATAATTCAGCCTGGATTGAGACATAAGCCCGGAAAATTTTAGGTTCGTGTGACATTCTTAAAACACGAAAGTTTAAGCAGACAAAGTCGCGGGCGGTCGCTAGTGAGCCATAAATCTTCAGTTTTATTAAAGAACGACAAAACTCGAGTTTGTAATTTTCATTCAACGATATTTGTTTTTAAGAAACAACCGTGGCGGGTTCTTAAATCAATGATAAAATCTTAATAGTTTATTAATGTTAAGTGACAGAAATCGTGGTACCTATACGTATATTTAAATAAAATCAAATTAGCTTTTGTATATCTGTGACTTCTACTTTTTGTTCACTGTTGCATACTTTGGTCTTAAAATGATTAGATGAAAGGTTTCAAAATATTATGTAATTCATTTTTTTGCTCGATTTAATATCATCGGTGCAGATTTTTTTCCAATGACTTTTTCATACTGTTTCCTTCATATTATTTTTCATCTTCATATCATCTTCATATTATTGACGACCTCCGTGGCCGAGTGGTTTGTACGCCGGGTTTCATGTGTCGGTGGGACAGATGTTTGTGTGATGAATACGAGCATTTGTTCTCCAGTCATGGATGTTTAATATGTATTTTCTATATAAATATACTTATATATGTACTGTATATGTATTCTATCCGTTACCCTAGCATCCCATAACACAAGCCTTACAGTGCTTACTTTGGGGCTAGGCTAATTGGTATGAGTGTTGGAAATATTTATTTATTTATTTTTGTTAGCTCCACCGCTGTTGAAACACCTGACGTTCGGAGCTGTAATGTGTTTAACTAAACTATTATTGTTATGATTTTCAGGCGGTAAAATATAAAATGCCTAGCTCAACTATAGTGCTACCTACCAGACTAATACAATATATTTTTATTAAACTTTTATGATCACTGACAATACCTTAATTTAAGTATCAGTTACTCCGTGATCATGGCGCTTGCGACATTGCCAAAAAATCGGAAACTCGCTAAAAACAAGGTAGATTCCATGTTAGCTATCCCGTAAATAACGTAAATTCTCATGAAAATTTTGATATATCATTTCTAGGTTCATTTACTGATGTTTTAAGAGCAAACAATCATTGAAGAATTAAAGACATTAAACTTAATAAGCTGACACCCTGGATTAAGACATAGGCTATGTTTTACTGCGGGAAAATATCCCTAATAACCCGCAGGCAACACTGCGGGGCACAGCTAGTATAGATAGCTAGTAGCATATATGAAACATGGAATATGCAATCTCGCTATGATATTAACAGAACTCCCAAGTTATGCTGTGCTAATCTGTTTTTGTTTTTAGTTCGGAATTTGAAAATCATGTTCTAAATTTTAAATCACACAAAGTGAGTTTGTTTTCTTTTTTACAAAATAGCACGGCTGTTCTAACAATATTATTTAAAACATCAATTTGTTTTCAGTACGGCAGAGCGCCCATCCACTGGGCGGCGAGCAGAGGCAACGTAGACATTATGAAATTGCTCATTGAGGCGAAGTGCGACATCGAAGCGGCCGATAAGGTAACCAGCTTACCTTACTGACGATAACAGTGTTATTTTCTGCAGACCTGGAGCTCTATTTTTGAATCAATCGCTTTGCGTCGAACGATGGAATTCCTACTAATTTTTTTGGAGATAATAAATTCTAAATTTTTGAATTGCTCGACTGAAGCTCAACGAAAGGTCTCAACCACTCGTTGCTTGGCGAATGGTGGAACCGAATGGTAGAATAATTGTCAAAGGATTTTAAATGGTTTAAAAGTAGTGTTATATTTTTAGTGTGTGACAGCTTATAACGCTAACTCAATCACAATGGCAAACGTCATGATGGTGAACTTATAATACCAATTTATGATTAATTATATTAATACTTACTTACTTACTTACTGCTGCGGCGCAACGATCCAAAGTGGATCTTGGCCTCCGACACAAGATGACGCCATGCTCTGCGATCCCGGGCTAGGTCCCGCCAGCTGTCGGCACCCAAAGACCCAAAGACTGCACCTCGTCGCTCCAGCGGTATCTGGGACGTCCAACAGGCCATCGTCCTATCGGTCGCCCCAAATACGCCCTTTTCACGGCTCGATCCTCTCCCATTCCCTCTACATGCCCGAGCCAGCGAAGTCTAGATGCTTTAATTTCTCCTATGATGTTGGGCTCAGATACTAGATTTTCCAGCTCGATGTTCGTCCGCACTCTCCAGCTGCCATCCTCTCTTTGAGTCGGCCCCAGGATCTTCCACAGAATCGTTCTTTCGGTGACCAGCAACTTATTCTCCTCTCTAAGGGTTAGCGTCCAAGCCTCACAACCGTACATCAAGATCGGTCTAATAAGAAGTATATTTATTTAATGAATAGTTATATTATTATTTAAATAAATATACTTCTTGAAATAAAATATCCAAGGGCATGCGTTGCCTTCAGCGGGATCAGGAGCGGACTTCGTCGTGAAGATCCGCTCAGTGCTGCGTCGCGAGACCCGTGCAACCCATCGCAGAACCCGCAAGGGGCGGGTGCCTCTCACAGCGAATAGTCGAAAATGGCTTATGCACATGCAGTAGCGAGCACCGAAGACAGCCAATCGAGCGTGCATCGTTGGTCGCCCCCAAGGCAGGCTGCGCCGTCCGTGCTTCACCCAACGTTGCTCTATGAAATAACATGAAACAAACAGGTGGAGCGGGTGCCCCGCTCCGTGCTCCCGCTTAATGCAGCGCACACTCTTATTTTGGCAACAAAAAAAATATAAATAAGCTTGCCATTTACCAATCAATAACTTTATAAATTTAAATTATAATAATTATGCCTAAAAACGGGCATAAAATAAATTCTAGTTTTTTGTCAAACGATTTAATGTTAAGTGCACTACATCTCAGACTCACTACAACCCTCCATACCAATTTGAACCTATTTCCTTTGTGTTAGATAGTTTCAAGATTTTTTCTCAATATTTTTGAAATACAGATAAGATAACGGTTTGTTGTGACATGACGTTATGAACCTCTCTTAGAAAAAAAGGCAAAAGATAATTGTATTAAATAGCCATATGTTGGGAATTATGTTCCTGTTCCTTTTTCACTGCAGTATTTACCGGTTTTTATCTTCTTACGTGAAATGAATTAAATTTTATATTTCGTATTAAACTGGCAACACTGTAAATCGGCGATTAAAAAATATGGGAAATCAGTAATCATGCGAATTGAAAGTTGATGGTGAATAAGTCGCATTCGATTTTATGTCAGGCGAGCGAAACAAAAATAGAGGTCCACCACCAGCAATGAATTTTATCAAAACGGCCTGCTTTCCTCGAGTACCTAGGTAGGGATTTTGTAATCGGTTAATTTTAAATAATTTACGTCTAATATAATGATAAACCTTTTTTAAGAAGAATCTCTTCTTTTCGAGATAAAAGCAATACAAAATATGATACTGTCATGCGAAGTAATCAAAACCTAGCATCATGGATCTAGCCAATGGACCTACTGTGAATGATCTGTACCCTTAGCACGAACCTATATCGAATTCGTAACGTATGCGAGTACGAAATATCATTGTCAAATGTGTACTGATTTTTAGTTCCCGTTACGTCCGTTATGGCGCTGCTGTTCAAGTTTCCATACAAAATTTGACAAAGACATTTCGGACTCGCAAACTTTTCGAATCGAATTCAAATAGTTCATCGATTTCATACTAAGGGTACTGGAAACAGTGTCAGTTTGAGAAAACCTGAATATTTTAAACATGGAAAAATGATGGTCTAAATGTTGATTCTATAGTTTGATGCTTTGTTATAACCGAAGTCTCGCCAGTGAAAAATTTCAGTAGTTCGATCTACCGGACTAACAAGCGAACTAGTGCAAATGAAGACATTATATGTGGTATCAAACTCGAAAGTTTGCTTCAATATAAAACAGTAAATTGCAAGTTTCAAAATTTTTGTTGTAAACTAGATATTGTTCCCAGATTGGTGTAATTTTCTTATAAAACAATATGACGCTGGTTGAGATTTTAATCCAAAAATCATCAGTTTCCAACAATTCCGATAAATTTTCCCCAAATTAATCTGCCGTCCAATCTTGTCTGGATAGCAAAAGAAATCAACCCAATATGAAGAGCTGTTTTCTACCGAGATGCAATAACAGATTTTTATTGGAACATAAAAAAATTGATCTATCATGCCCCCCGTGCCAATGAATTGCTCAATCTTTATCTACAAGTACCAGGCTACCATAATTAAACGGAATTATATTGTTCTCTGCAGTTCGGTATGCGGCCGCTGTTAATGGCGGCGTGGCATGGTCACCTCGAGGCCGTCAAGACGCTCGTCGCGGCGGGCGCCTGTCTTGCGGCCACCAACAAGGTACTCATGCTGCCCTGGTACTTAACATTTTTATGTACGTGTGCGAAAAAAACATTTGCTGACATCTTATTCGAAAATATGTTTTAATCTTAGGACCAAAAATGATTTGAATGAGGTGCGTGGATATTGTTAGTAAAATTTCCGATCACCAAAAGAGATCAATCATGAACATGTTATGAACATGACATGCTGTATAAGAAGTAACCGCTCGCTTGTCATATAAAAAAACTTTATGAAAAAAACACAAAATTACTTTCCGCCTTGGTTCATATTAACTAACTAAATTACATTAATATGACATCATTTTAATTATCAAGTTTCGTATTTTGGTTTTTAATCTAAAGTAATTATTTAAAACAGTAAGCTAATCAAATATGTGTGGTCGACTCGAGTAACTCGATTGTAGATTTCGTTTCTTAGCATTACTTACCCAAATTACCAAGTTACCAGTACCCTTAGCACGAACCAAAATCGAATTCGTAACGTTTGCGAGTCCGAAATGTCATTGTAAAATGTGTACTGATTTTTAGTTCTCGTTACGTACTTTGTGCCGCTGCTGTTCAAGTTTCCATACAAAATTTGACATTGACATTTCGGTTTGCAAACTATTCGAATTCGATAATGGTTCGTGCTAGGGGTACTGATAACGGAACCCCATGCAAGTTACTATTGGTCAATGCTTTTATTACAAGTTATTAAAAAGCCTCCGATAACCGTTGTTACCAGCAAACTGTAGGTACTTATCTTATGAAAAGTAATTTGTAGGCAGTTAAATTTTTACAGAATGTGTATTTTAATGCTTGCCGCTATAACAAAAAACAATATACAAAGACCATTATTAAAATACTAGAGAAATAATAACCATTATTCTATAACGCTTCTATTAACGCTATTTCTTCTTTCAAATGTTTAATAGTTGCAAAAGTATTCATTTGACATTGTGGGTTACCTACAATGCTAAGAGATGGCGCTGCCTTGCAGCTTAAGAATGGCTAGAAGACGACGCGGCCTTCGGGGCCACGGTGGCATAATTGGTCAGTGCATTCGCCCGGATAGCGAAGGGTTCGGGTTCGAGTCCCGTATGCTGCCTGGTCCGTGTAGTTATATTCTCTTTGAATTTAAACATCAAGCAGTATCATGCTTAAAAACAAATATTATAATAATTACCATTAGTCAAAATTGGGTACATTTAATATGCATTTGAGGTGACATTAATTAATGTCTTAAATCTATCAACATAAAAATTTAATGTTTGTTCATTCAAAATCTTAAATCCGGTAAAAAAAAAATATTAGTAGAGTCTGTACGGAAAGAGAATGGGATTTAGATTGGAGGGCGCTGTAGTGCATTTCTACCGTATTTGTAAGGTTTTACCCCTTTTAGACATGATTAAATACAAAGAAACCGCAAGAAATCACAACAACAAATCACAATATCAATACAAAACTTTGGCTTTTTACAGATTGCTGGGTTTGATTGCCAAATAAAAATCTTAAAGTTAGTTCCGTTTTTCGCCACGCCCATTCTATTTCCGCACAGACTCTTAATATACACATATTATATTATTTACAAAATAGTCCCATAGAGACTCGCCTCCACAGGTATGTACAATTTGTACAGTGTCATTATCTTGTAATTATGTCAGAAATAATTTTTCATTCTTTTATTCAAATCAAAAAGAAGGAAACAGGCTTATTTTTCTGTTTTTGCAGACATCCCCACAATGAAGTTAGTCAGACGTTCAATACGTTAAATAAGAAAATACCATACTTTTTTTTTACTTTTTTGACCTGCTGTTTAAACATTGTTTAGGAAATAACCGGGTGATTAATTGAACGGATGTTAAACAACAGTTGATGAACTTGGGCCTAAATTACTTCAATTAGCCTAACCGTGGTTTAAAAGGATGTTTAAGAGCGGACGCGAGCTGAGAGACATTTAAGAATTAGGTAATTGTCAAATACCCTGCGATAGGGACAACAGTAACTAACGCTGAAATTGCGTATAAAAAATTCAAAATTCGAGGTTTGGCTCTCTAAGATTTCCTCCTCGAATATTAGATATATGTAAAAGATTTTTTACCCATAGAATAATCAGTACTTCTAAATCATGAACCAGATATTATTTTTTACTTTTTAGTTCCATTTTCGATTTTGAAGTCGATTTTTTTTTCATCCATTTTAGTGAAAATTACATCGTCCAAGTAGACGGAGAAATCAGTGAGCATGCATAAAAAACATCGTGCGTGCCTTTGAAAATTGATGGTTTCCCCCGATTTCCCCGGATTCCACGATTTTTTCTACGACCTAACAAGACGAATCAAACGAAACACTTGATGTGATTGTGTCTTTTTATTACATCCTTCCTATATTTCTGCTCTGTTGCTAAGTCGTTTTATAACTGAGTTCCTGTGGATACAGCTCAATCATCAGACCCTGGATAACGTCTAAAGGCAAAGTACTCGTAAAGACGAATCAAACCAGTCCAAACTTAAATAAAACAATAGATTGTTTTAAACTTTCATGGTCACTAACATTATAATAGTATAAGTTATTTACGGGAATGTTACCATGTACCTTGTTTGTTAAAGTGCTCCTTCTACCTCATCATCAGATCAGGTCTAATGTCATCATAATATCGCATTGCCACACGATATACGTAAGTGTGTAAAAGGACAATGCTAAAATTGGCCTAAGAACCAACACCAATTTGACATTTATGATAATTCTTAGTATATTTTTTTCGATAATTATCAGTATTTAGATTGTGACGGACACTTCCAGTTAAGTAAGCTAAATTAAAAAGTTGAAAAATAATCTGAGACAATGAATACCATTTTATGTGTATAATCTATGGCAGCGCTGCAAACAAAATACTCTTTCTTCCTAATGCCGGCACTTCACTTTGGCTATTCGTATTTGCTATTTTAAAACATGACATCAGTCTGTCCTTGTCGTTCCTTATGAAGCATGACAAGGACAAACTGTTGTCAAGTGAAGGGCCGGCATAAAACTTGTTACTCTGTGGTTGTGGTGCATGCAGTTTGCATTCGTAGTAATCTGTGGCATTCGTGCATTCCAAAGTGTTGTATATTATACCAGAGAGTGCATTCTCGTTTCGGATTACCTGTTGTGTGTGTTTATTTGCGATTGTTTTTCCTTTAATTTCACTATTTCGGCTATCTAATATGCCATCGATGTTACCAAAGAGTAGATCCTTATTACCAAGTGCTAGGAAACCTGTGCCACAATAACCTGAGAGGATCATACTGCCAAATTATTCAAGAACACCTGATACACATTCACGCTGCATATATAAGTACACAATGTACATGTGATATACAAATAAATACAATATGACACAATTATGTGAAAAATAGTCAATAAATAAGAAGCAAAACTACAGTTTTTATTTTATTCATGATTCCTACCTAACCAAGTTTTTCCTAATAGTTATTCTTTAAAATCACACCGAATAAAATGAATTAGTTGGTATATTAATTCACTTCATACTGAGTTCATTCTAAATTCATTGAATATAATATAACCTCAAAAAAATTTTAGTTTTCCTAATAATTTAAATTCTCAGAAGTGTCCGTCAATAATCTTTGTTTTTACAGTCATTTATTTACGATTTTGAACATAGAAAATAATATTTCATGATTGTTGGTTCTTAGGCTAACTATGTATGGACGCTGAACAATGTCCTTTCAACTCGTTTTCGATAAGAAACTGGGAAGTGCGTCAAATTTGAGTTGAAAGATTCCATTACACAAATATACACCACACATTGTAAGAATTGAAAAAATATGTGTTTGTAATGATCATCATCATCATCATCATCAGCCTCTTTATGTCCCCACTGCTGGGGCACAGGCCTTCCCTATGGATGGAATAGGGAGATTGGGCCATGACCCACCACGCGGGCCCAGTGCGGATTGGCGGGTGCTAACGATTGCAGATGCAACCGGGACCAACGGCTTAACGTGCCTTCCAAAGCACGGAGGAACTCGAGATAGAAATTTTTGGTCACCCATCCAATGACCGACCACTGCAAAAGTTGCTTAACTACAACGATCGCAGCCGAACGCGCTAACCACCTGCGCCATCGAGCTCCTCCGTTTGTAATGATGCGGAATTATAATTGAGCGTGATCTATACCTACATTAAACCGATTTTTTATATCTGTTTACTACCAAGATGCTCCACATTCTGATCAATAAGAACTTTTATTAATGGTGAAATGACTGTTTCCAGCATGTTAGATGTCTTCAATTTTTACGCCTAAGCTTTAAATATATTGGTGAAGGACACATATTAAGTATATTTTGTAACGGAAATAGTTCCGGAGTTAAAATTCGCTGATCCAAATAATGTACACTTTGTAAAAGTAGGTATATGGTAAAAAAACTTAACTATTCCGTAATCTTTAAAATGTTAATTTTAGTTAGTGTATAATACGACCTCCGTGGTCGAGTGGTTTGTACGCCGGGTTTCATGGTGTCGCCGACTCGAGAGGTCCCGGATTCGAATCCCGGTGGGGGCAGATGTTTGTGTGATGAATACGAGCATTTGTACTCCAGTCATGAATGTTTAATATGTATTTCTATAAAAATATACTTATATATATACTCTATATGTATTCTATCCGTTACCCTAGTAACCCATAACACAAGCCTTACAGTGCTTACTTTGGGGCTACGCTAATTGGTGTCAGTGTTGGAAATATTTATTTTATTTATTATTATTAATAAAAGCCCTTACACCGCCAGGATACCCCGAGGATTAAGCTGCAGAACGTGGCTCGTCAATGCACTAGGGTGACCTTTGCAGGCAAATTATCACGCATAGGAGTCACCAGTTCAGAAGAGTCATGATATCTTCCGGAGAAAGAGTCCTCACACTTGATTTAGCGGAAAAGGCTTCAGTGTTATTGATAGCTGCTTACTATAGCGGGTATTCGAATTTAACTATTCTTTCATTGGCGCTGGTATGTCACCCGTGTAGTGATACCAACACACAAGGCACAGTGGGAGGCTTCAGAACGAAGTACCGTCAATCTACCTACCCCATATCAATAAAAAAATAATCTGTTATGCTACGGAACAGATAGTATGTGATAAAATGGTGAGAAAAAGCAGCTATTTACTGAGTTTCTTTCAATTTTTTCTCAGTATCTTGTCAACTCTCGCCGCTGATGCTCAACTAATGGCTTAGATTTTGGACTTTAATATAATCAGTCAGAAGCACATGCTTGCAAAAGCCTGGACTAAATAAATTGATTAAAATTTTAACTTCAAGGCACACAAAATGCCACGTAAAATTAATGCTTTGAAGCTTGTTTGAAGCACACATATCTAACTTATGTTCACTGAGTGAGTATTATGTTCGCTTTTGAACTCTATGCCTGTGTAAGCAAAATATTAAAGTAAACATTTTAGTTTCCCATTAGCAAATAATCGCAATAGTTCTAAGTTACTTAATGTTTACGTGAATTGTATGTTTTATATTTCCCGGAATACCCGAATAGGTACCTAAACAAACAAAGGGATACATAATACCGATTCGCTATGTAATTCTAAGAATTACGAACAGGGGAAAATCTGCGTTCTCATGTGCTAAAAATATAACACCTGAATTCTGAGAACCGGGTAAGGCAACATGTAAATATCAAAGTAGAGTTAAAGTCAAACAGATGCCAAACTTTTGGAGAAAAGCCTTTCAGAAATATGTAGGTAGGTAGTTGTTTCTTAGTGATGTTCCGCTTTCCGCATTATAAAGGCAAGTATGTTAATAAGTAAGCAAGTTAGAATGTAAGGTTATTTTGATGGACGCCCGATCGATTATCCTTAAAGTTCCAGTATTGGTTAAGCTTGAAACAAAACTCCCAAGGCTGCTAAAGATTAGAACAAGAGAGAGTTTTCAACTAACTATGTAGTTAAATATTAACAAAGTCGTTATTCACCCAAGACGCGATCCCTACCAAGGATCCCGAAGTTGTTTTATGTACTACTCTACTAACGAACGCAACGGGATCATAAAATAAGTCATTAAATTTGTAACAAAAGATTTAAGCATTTTACAAACTTAATTAAAATTTTGTGTTATAAATAATAATATTAGGTCTTTTTATATGAAATTAGCGTTTTGACGTACTGAACACTTTGATCTGAAATAACTCCTCTTTGGTTAAAAATTCCAAATTCTAATTTATAAAGTCATTTAACTGGTACATTTGAATATTGAAAACAGTGATTCACTTGTTTTTTCCTAATTATTTTTTTCTTTGGCTTCGCTTCTTACCACACAATGGAAATCATGAAATATCAGTATATTTAAGAGTACGAGTTCTTCAGGAACAGCTCGAAAGATTAATGATGTGTACGGCGCTGGTGTCACAAAAAAAAGCTCGGTACTTTTTTGGTTTCAACGTTTTCGTTCTGGAAATTTCGACCTTCAGAATCAACCCCGTGGATGGCCGGAGACCAAAGTGAAAAATGAATAATTAAAGGCTATTGTGGAAGCGGATCCATCACAAAGCACATCAGAGATAGCGGCAGGCTTCGGAGTAAGTGACAAAACTGAATTAATCCACTTGAAGCAAATCGGGAAAGTAAAAAAACTTGAACGATGGGTACTTCATGAATTGAGTGAATCGAACTTGCAAACACGCGTCGACTGCTGTGTTACTTTGCTCAACCAACACAATAATAAAGGGATTTTAAATCGAATCATTACTTGTGATGAAAAGTGGATACATTACGATAATCGGAAGCGCACGCCGCAATGGCTGAACCCTGGAGAACCAGCACCAGAAAATTGCCTCGAAAAAAGTTACTTGTGATGTTTAGTGGACTAACGCCGGTATTCTACTACTACTTTCTTAAATCTGACCAAACGATTACGGCAGATATCTATTGTCAGCAACGGCAAACCGTGAAGGAGGAATTAGCTGCTAAACAACCGAGATTGGTCACTCGCTCTAGACCACTGCTGCTTCACGACAACGTAAGACCACACACTACACAACAAACAACTACTAAGTTAGATGAACTACAATTGGAATGTCTGCGACATTTACCGTACTCCCCGGACCTTACTTTAACAGATTACCATTTTTTTCCAGAATTTGGACAACTTTTTACAAGGAAAAGCAGTCAATTCCGATGCGGCAGTCCAAACCGCTATCAAGGAGTTTATTGATTCTCGCCCCCATGGTTTTTTTAGAAAAGGGATCAATGAACTACCTATGAGTGGTAACGGTGCATATTTTGATAAATTAAATATATTTTACAAAAAAAAAAACTTTATATTCCTCCCGTATAAAACGCCAAATGTTATATGTAAGGACCTAATATACAAGAAAATTGTATGGTTACGATGGTGAAAATTGTGAGATCAGGCTAATATCGACAATATGGTTCAAAAGTCCCTTAAAATAATAAAAAAAACTTAATCCTGTTTCATAACCCCGTATCAATATTATTATCAATAAACTAATGGGTGTCCGCGACTTCGGCCGCGTGGAATTAGTGATTTGTGTATAGAACGATTCAAATAAGAATAGGAAATCCAATGACCTCTATCTGTCAAATGTCGCTTGAAAAATACGGTTTGCAAAAAAAATTTAGAACCCCTTTTTAGCTCTCATATAATTCTAGAATAAAAACCAAATATTTGTAAACAAACCATAACAAATATAGATAATTAATATTGGTTGATATTTTTTTTCATTTATTGAGCTTTATGAATGGTTGATAACCTAAATCGTCAACCAAATGATTAACGCTCAGTGTTACTTTGTAAGTAATTTCTTTTTGATACTGTTAATAAAGAAACTTTGCAAATTTTTATATTAACCCAGATTTAAAAACTAACAAGATAATATATAATACCTATAATAATCTGCGAAAATGACCTACTACCTATGTTAAATCTTCTTATCCTTAATACATAAAAGAAGAAACTGACTGACTGACATATCAACGCACAGCCCAAACGGCTAGGTCGTAGGTATAATAAAATTTGCCTTTTTCGGTTTTCCTAAACTACCCCTAAAGGGGGGATTGCCGTGCCAAAGTTAATATATGAATTAATTTTTTCGATTAACTCGAAACTTGGTAATTATACTTGAGATCAGAAATAAAGAATAAAATATATCTAGATCATTGAACTGTTACCCCTGAGGGGTAAAAAAGTAGATGAAAGTTTGTATGAAAAATCGTATTTCTTGGGTTAATAGACCTTATAAAGTTTATCATTCCTCTAAACTACCCCTTAGTTACATTACTTCATTAGAATTAGAAACTTCACATGGGTACTCCTATCGGTAAATGAGTAAACAATTGTTTCAGATTATTTCAGATTCCACCCTTAAAAGATGGAAATGGGATAACGAAGTCACAAAATCTACATGGATATTGTTTATATGGTTTATCGGGACGCTGATTACGAAAACAATAACGATTTTAAAATCCAACGTGGTGTTTAAGACTGATGAAAACGCAGAATGGATAGATAATAACTAACTATAATGCCATTCAACTAAGAATAGGACCGACTGGGTGCCATATTGTGACGTCATAGCTGTCAATTCAAACCAAATAGGTAGATAGATCAAAAATATTTTTTATTTAATAAAACTTATTTACTAAGAATGAGAAAAAAAACCATCGCTTTTCAATAATATTTATTTATGAAGACTGTGTGAGAAAAAACATTAATCAGAATCTATTGTATATCATTATAGGCTAAAAAAATAGTCAGTCAAAGAGCGCAAAGTTATTTAAATCATAAAAACACAAAGCCGTTAATTGAAATAAATAATGAAAACAAAATGTGAACGATGCGAAAGATGTGTGTATTTACAGACCGTGTCTTATGGCGATCTTTTCTCTGCCTACCTCATCCGCGCCTCGGCGTAACGATAGATAGATAATGAAAAAAAAAACTGAACAGGGTCTTTGTTCCAGAAACACAATGATATGTTGCAATGTGCATGCGCTCGCGGCTCTCTTGGCGTGGCCGAATACGCCATCACCCTGGGCGCCAGGGTACAGAGCACTGATGCGACAGGGGATGCGCCTCTTGCACTGGCGGCCAGAGCGGGACACACCACGCTCGTGCAGATGCTGCTGGACAAGGGAGCAGACATGGATGCAGTCAACAAGGTCAGTGGACAGCATTCATATCTAAACATTGCCATAGAAGTGCCACACATCCTGGGAGTCGGGGTCTAGAGTACTGATGCAGCAGGGGACTCGCCTCTTTCACTGGCGGCCAGGGCGGGAAACACCACGCTCGTGCAGATGCTGCTGAACAAGGGAGCAGACATGGATGCTGTCAAAAAACTCGCTGGACAGCATTCATATCTAAATATTGCCATAGAAGCACCACACATCCTAGGAGTCAGGGTCTAGAGCACTGATGCGGCAGGGGACGCGCCTCTTGCACTGGCGGCCAGGGCGGGAAACACCACGCTCGTGCAGATGCTGCGGGACAAGGCAGCAGACATGGATGCAGTCAACAAGGTCAGTGGATAGCATTCATATCTCAACATTGCCATAGAAGCCCCACACATCCTAGGAGTTGGGGTCTAGATACTGATGCAGCAGGGGACACGCCTCTTTCACTGGCGGCCAGGGCGGGAAACACCACGCTCGTGCAGATGCTGCTGGACAAGGTCAACAAGGTCAGTGGACAGCATTCATATCTCAATATTGCTATAGAAGCACCACACATCCTAAGAGTCAGGGTCGACAGCACTTGATGCGCTAGGTTACGCGCCTCTTGCACTGACGGCCAGGGCGGGACACACCACGCTCGTGCACATGCTGCTGGACAAGGCAGCATGGATGCAGTCACAAAACTCGGTGGACAGCATTTATATCTAATTATTGCCATAGAAGCACCACACATCCTAGGAGTCAGGTTCTAGAGCATGCGGCAGGGGACTCGCCTCTTCCTCTGGCGGCCAGAGCGGGACACACCACGCTCATACAGATGCTGCTGGATAAGGCAGCAGACATGGATGCAGCCAACAAGGTCAGTGGACAGCATTCATATCTAAACATTGCCATAGAAGCGTCACACATCCTAGGAGTCGGAGTCCAGAGCCAGTGCTCTGGAGCTCCCTCTGGTTCTGGAGTCCCCTGCTGCATCAGTATGCAGCAGGGGACTCGCCTCTTTCACTGGCGGCCAGGGAAAGAAACACCACGCTCGTGCAGATGCTGCTGGACAAGGCAGCAGGCATGGATACTGACAAAAAACTCGATGGACAGCTTTCATATCTAATTATTGCCATAGAAGCACCACACATCCTAGGAGTCGGGGTCTAGAGCACTGATGCAGCAGGGGGACTCGCCTCTTTCACTGGCGGCCAGGGCGGGAAACACCACACTCGTGCAGATGCTGCTGGATAAGGCAGCAGACATGGATGCAGTCAAAAAACTCGGTGGACAGCATTCATATCTGAATATTGCCATAAAAGCGCCACACATCCTAGGAGTCAGGGTCTAGAGCACTGATGCAGCAGGGGACTCGTCTCTTGCACTGGCGGCCAGGGCGGGGCACACCACGCTCGTGCAGATGCTGCTGGATAAGGCAGCAGACAAGGATGCAGTCAAAAAACTCGGTGGACAGCATTCATATATAAATATTGCTATAGAAACGCCACACATCCTAGGAGTCGGGGTCTAGAGCACTGATGCGGCAGGGGACTCGCCTCTTTCACTGGCGGCTAGGGCGGGAAACACCACGCACGTGCAGATGCTGCTGGATAAGGCAGCAGACATGGAAACAGTCAACAAGATCAGTGGACAGCATTCATATCTCAATATTGCCATAAAAACACCACACATCCTAGAAGTCAGGGTCTAGAGCACTGATGCAGCAGGGGACTCGCCTCTTTCACTGGCGGCCAGGGTAGGAAACACCACGCTCGTGCAGATGCTGCTGGACAAGAGAGCAAACATGAATACAGTCAACAAGGTCAGTCCACGGCATTCTTTTGTATTTGCTCACTCACAACAGTGGTGCAACTGCCCCGCCTACAAGGCCCTTCTAATCTCTTTCTATGTTATGTGTTACCTATACAGAACTGAATATACACAAGACCCCTTGCCATTGACTCAAATGCCATTTGTCATTGAATGGATAGAAACAAAACACGGAATAATCCAAGTATCCGTATAGTATCCTTATATGTGGTAAGTATCCTTATATATAGTAAGTATCCTTATTCTTCGTTTATTAATAAAGGGGTATATGAGTTTTTATAAGACAAGATATTATTCATAATAATCAAAACCTTCAAAAATATGCGAATTATTCACAAATAAACTATTTAACAATAAGAATTACAGAATTCTAAAACTAGTAACGCTAATAGTAATTTATTATTTGTTGGTGATTATTCATAAAAAGTTTAATTAGTGCATGTGCAATTAGAGTTTTAAAATTGCAAATATGGAGTTACCTACACATGTAAAACATTTTTAGTTCGTGTTTGTGCTGCGCTACTCATATAATAGTTAGTAATTATTCTCGTTGTAAATGAACTTTATGTTTTTATGAGAATAAATTCTGTAAATCTAAACATATAAACAAACCATTAACAGCAACTAAGTAAGCTGATCGACATAGTCTAAGTGTTGCCGCACACAGGCCACCGATCACAACCACAAAACGCCGCCGCCGGCATATTTCTTGTAGTTTTCATACATTTTATATGGACTCGCTACACACGGTACGCCGGTGGCCGCCACACGCTACAAATCGTCGTTGCTCGCTTCTTGTGGCCCGCACCGGCCACTTAATGCGCCGATACAAAACGCCGCCACACGTCAATCGCGCGATTCCCCGCCCCTTTCTCCCTTACCTTAGTCGGCCGCTGTCGCGCGCTTTTGCCACTTTGGTAGCCGCTTCTAGCTTCTCGTGGCGGCGTTTGTAGCTGTGGCGTGTGGCCCATGTGCGGTGATACTTACAGCTACTGAACCATCTGACTAACCATCCCACAAATCTAGAAACATTTTAAATTATATTAATTATCTGTTAATAAAGAAAGTACGAGAGGCATCTCGCGGTTGCGCAATCTTCCCTTAATTTTTTTGAAATTTAAATTAAACTTTCTTTAACCTGCTGCCATAAGGCTACAATTTTAATATGTCGTAATTTACATAAGATTTAGCATAAAAAAATTGCCAAGCTATTCTTATAGTTACAGTTATGTACCCGACGATAGCAAAGATGTCATCGGGATAGTAATCCATAACCTGCTCGCACACGTAGCTACCCAGACGAATGTTTTGGCACCTACGCACGCAGTCCCTCCTGATTTACAAGATCATTAGAACCACTGCCAAATAAATTCCACTAAGAACGTAGTATTTTATCGTCAGTGCTAATTAAGCATCTTAATGGCGTATAAGTATAGGAGAAAAGGTTTTGTGGGTCCTGTATTTGATGGGATGTAGTCAATAAATTCTTTAGCAAAAATATCGACCTAACTTTGGGAACGTAGTTTCCTACTTCCTTTGTGGAAACATTAGCTCAACCTAACTCAGACGCAACAAAGTCAACGCAGAAAATATAATATGTAAACTCAGACGCAACAAAATCAACGCAGAAAATATATGTAAACTCAGACGCAACAAAATCAACGCAGAAAATACACACATCAAAAGTGTCTAGGGATCAAGCATTTTTATGCGGATTTCTTGAGATTGAGATGTGGCTTTGTAATAAATTTATGATTTTATAAATTTATATGGATCCTTTTTGGTGCATTTCATAATTTGAATCAGGAACTGTGAATCAAATTCGAGTAAAAGATGAAAATCAGCTGTCAATATTTTCCCTATAAAAACATACAACGCATTGAAGACATTATTAGTGCTACTGTTTCCCTACTACTGATTAAAACCAACGTTATTATGGAGCGGCGACGTCATTTAAGCAGGGAAGAAATGCTCAGAGCCGTGGGAATGATAGAAGCTGGTTCCCGGCAACGTACTGTGGCTTTAGCTCTGAATACAAGTCAGAGTGTTATCAGTCGACTTTGGACACGATACCGAAGCACTAGTACCGTGGCTGAGCGCCATGGAGGACGGTATCGCTGCACCACACGGAGACAAGACCGATACATTCAAATCTTAACTCGAAGAGCTCCAACAATAACCGCCATGATGTTAGCCGTGAGGCTTCATCACTCTTCAGGGAACTTAATTAGCGACCAAACAGTCAGAAACCGCTTGCATGAAGTGAACCTTCATTCCCGAAGACCGCTACGGGTACCACCTATAGCAATGCACAATCGTAGGATTCGATATCAATGGGCTCTTGAACACAGAAATTGGGCAGAAGAACAATGGCGTTTCGTGTGCTTTTCTGATGAGTCTCGTTTTGGTATGAGACCGGATACAAGACGTATACGACACTGGAGAACCCCTGGACGCCAACAGCGATTAAAATCCTGCCAGGAAGTCCATCCTTATAGGGGTGGAACCATCATGGTATGGGCGGGTATTTGGATCGGCGGAAGAACTGAGTTGATTTGGATCAGAGGCAACCTCAACGCTCAAATTTATGCTGAGACGATTGTATCAGACGTCATCGTTCCTCTACAAGTGCAAATCGGTCCCTTATTTCAGTTAATGCATGATAATGCACGACCGCACACCGCAAGAGTTGTAAGACAGACTCTCGCCGCAGCTAACATCAATGTCCTGCCCTGGCCTGCTCAGTCGCCAGACTTGAACCCGATTGAGCATGCATGGGATATGCTACAGAGAAGAGCTCTGCCGAATATGGAGGGTATCCAGTCGCAAGAAGACCTTTTTTTGTTGTTGCAACGAACATGGGCGGCCATTCCACAGCGTGATTTGGATGAACTCATTTTGAGTATGCCAAACCGATGTTCTTGTGTTGTTAGTGTTCGCGGTAGAAATACGGATTATTAATTGTTTAAGTTACCCAAAAAAATTTTAGAGAAAACTGTTATTTCAGTCTTTTTTTCGAACTTTTGTGTTAGTGGTTCAAATGTCAAAAATCCCTTTATTAGGAAAATGGCAAATTTCTTTATTAATGCAAAGGTGACTTGGTTTATCGTTACTGTGACAAACGAAAACACTTTATTTGATGAATCCTTAAAGAAAATTTTAATTAATATCAA